ACACACACACACACACACACACACACACACACACACACACACACACAGAGACCTCCTCGTCCTCAAAGACGTGGATCAGGTCTCTGAGAGAGAAGCAGCCTCTCTGGAACACGATGTCTCCGGACTCTTCCAAACACTGACCGGCCAGAACCAGAAGTTTGTGAGGAGATGGATCACAGACGAGCCGCCGTACCTGAACATAACACACACACACAGGAAACACATGAGGACAACAAAGTGTACTTTTGTATTTAGCCAAGCAGGACTGTGCTAACAGCTCACGTTAACTAGCTCTCCTCCTGCCGATTCACTATGTAATGTATGTTTACTGAACATCATCCCACTGACTCTTCTCCGGACCCGCGTTAATGTTAACATGGATCCCTGAACAGAGATGATCTGGATCAGGTCCACACATGATGAACCAGACTCACTGTTCAGGGTTTAATGAGACACTTTTATTCACCTCGGAGCAGACGAAGTCGTGAGCTGGATTCACAACAACCCGAGTGTCCAGAACGTCTCCGCGGTGCTGCAGAGTCCTCTGTCCTGCAGGACGAACAGAAAACGTCAGGTCACAGTATGCTAGCAGCTAACCTAGCAGCTAGTTGAGCCACAATCAACCACAATGAGAAGGAGCATAAACTAACATCTGGAAATAAAATAAAGCCTGAACGTCCTCTACAGAGCAGCATCTTCACTGGACACCCTCCCCAGATCTATGGGTCTCCTAAGAGCAGAGGACCAGGATCTATCCGGCTCGGATGTTATTCGTCACACTACTCACTCACACACTCACACGTAGTTTTGGTGATGAACTTGAATAAATCCAGTAGTATGAAGGAGATGTTTTCACATGAATATAAACTAGATACAATGAGCTCAAAGGATTGTGGGAGTTTTAGGAGCCCAGAGGACACATTCATCCTTTAATATCTGCTGAACCAGGTACTCGGGTCTTAAAGAGTCCTTCAGACACACAACACTAACAGGTGTGCTTCTCCTCACCTGGGACATCCTGCGACAGGAAGGCCGAGTGTCTCGACACAAAGAGTTTCAGCTGCTGGTCCAGAACAGAGACGTCCAGGTTTACAGGCCAGCAGCGCACACCTGAAGGACACACAGACAGGTATAAGTACACACACCAACAGGTATCAGTACACACACGTATCATTCATAATCTAAATGTCTCATTGGGCCCTGAATGCATCTTGTGTGTTGTGTTCACTGACATCTGTTTGAGTAAGAATCAACACAACCTGTCACCGTATTATGGGATGTCTCCAGGCTGCATTATTCATCATGTTCAACCAGCAGCAGACTGGTTTGAACTGGTCTATTGGTCTGAAGAGTTAGTCCCTCTGTGGTTCCTCCTTCCTCTGTCAGATAAACCATTTCCTCCTTCCTCAGCAAACAGGAAGCTGAAGATATTTAGTAACACCACTTCCTCTTTGTGTGTGTCACACAGAACATTACACCAGCAGGAAGAAAACCAGCTGAACATCAATACAAACCACTAAAGCCTGACCATAGCCTGACAGATGAAGAGCTAAAAACACGTGTTCATGCAGAACACATATGTGCCCTGCATTAGTTTACTCCTCACAGAAGTGCTCACCTAAAGGTAAAATCCCTCTTGTGGCTAAATGGGTCAATGACACTTGTCTTCGTTAGCATAGCATAGCATTCATCAAATGGGTCAATGACGCATGTCTTCCTTAGCATAGCCGCTCATCCACCAGTTTAGTCTGCTGGTGTAGTTGCCATGGCAACAAGTGTTAACTGATGTTAGCCTACTTTAGCTTAGTTTAATAAAAACGAGTAGCCATACTATTACAATTCGGCGTTTTTTTTACTAAACCAATTACAACTACCAACAGTCATACCTTCAAGGACCTTAATGCTTTGTCACATATTGTCAAATAAAGGCTAAACCGCCACAGCACCTCTCCCACACAGTGGCACAACTTCCCGCAGCAGCGGAGCTTGCAACAGGAAGTGCCTCTACTAGCTGCCGCTGACACATCTTGAGCCCTTTCTCGTGGACGCCATCGCAAGGACACTACGCTGCGTTCACTGTGGAAGTGTGAAACGTCAGATATTAAAGTGTGGTAGTTGAACGGCCCAATATGGCATAGTTTATTGCTCTTTTACTGTGATTGGTGTCAAGTAGAGGCTGAAACAGCTTGCTAAACAGAACTTTGTCACTAGCGTAATTTTTTTTACTTCCAATCACTGAATATGGTGTATAGTTGAATCATAATTCTCACGGTGCCCACGTTATCTGAAGGCAACATGGTTGAGGAAGTCCTCAGCCTTCTTTGTTATGCTGCACTCATGATACCACGCCCCTCCCAGCTGATGCCACGCCCCCCCATGCTAGATCAGGGTCAAAAGTCTGAACTGAAAAAAACGACCTGAAACTGAAAAATATAAGACCTCAAATATCGAAATATATATATGAAAGTGAAAAAAAAAAAAAAAAAAAAAAAAAAAAAAAAAAGTATTCAAAAAAATTTCAGAACTGAATCAAAATTATATTCGACCCAAAAAAA